ATCAGGAAAATGACAAAAAAATTAAAAAAAAATAAATTTTTTAATTTGAATGCAGATATTTAGAGAATTGCGTCAGAAACATTTAGAGGTATGCCACTTCAAAATCCGATTAGGATAAGTTGAGTTACGGAGCTTAGAACTTCAGCCTTAGGACATTTCCCAATTTTTTTGAATTTCTACAACATCATACATCAGAAAAATTACAAAAAAATTAAAAAAAAATAAATTTTTAAATTTGAATGCAGATATTTAGAGAATTGCGTCAGAAACATTTAGAGGTATGCCACTTCAAAATCCGATTAGGATAAGTTGAGTTACGGAGCTTAGAAGTTCAGCCTTAGGACATTTCCCAATTTTTTTGAATTTCTACAACATCATACATCAGGAAAATTACAAAAAAATTAAAAAAAAATAAATTTGTAAATTTGAATGCAGATATTTAGAGAATTGCGTCAGAAACATTTAGAGGTATGCCACTTCAAAATCCGATTAGGATAAGTTGAGTTATGGAGCTTTGAACTTCAGCCTTGGGCCATTTCTTAATTTTTTTGAATTTCTACAACATCATACATCAGGAAAATGACAAAAAAATTAAAAAAAAATAAATTTTTAAATTTGAATGCAGATATTTAGAGAATTGCATCAGAAACATTTAGAGGTATGCCACTTCAAAATCCGCTTAAGATAAGTTGAGTTATGGAGCTTTGAACTTCAGCCTTGGGCCATTTCTTAATTTTTTTGAATTTCTACAACATCATACATGAGGAAAATGACAAAAAAATTAAAAAAAAATAAATTTTTAAATTTGAATGCAGATATTTAGAGAATTGCATCAGAAACATTTAGAGGTATGCCACTTCAAAATCCGCTTAAGATAAGTTGAGTTATGGAGCTTTGAACTTCAGCCTTGGGCCATTTCTTAATTTTTTTGAATTTCTACAACATCATACATAAGAAAAATTACAAAAAAATTAAAAAAAATAAATTTTTAAATTTGAATGCAGATATTTAGAGAATTGCGTCAGAAACATTTAGAGGTATGCCACTTCAAAATCCGATTAGGATAAGTTGAGTTACGGAGCTTAGAACTTCAGCCTTAGGACATTTCCCAATTTTTTTGAATTTCTACACATCATACATCAGGAAAATGACAAAAAATTAAAAAAAAATAAATTTTTTAATTTGAATGCAGATATTTAGAGAATTGCGTCAGAAACATTTAGAGGTATGCCACTTCAAAATCCGATTAGGATAAGTTGAGTTACGGAGCTTAGAACTTCAGCCTTAGGACATTTCCCAATTTTTTTGAATTTCTACAACATCATACATCAGGAAAATTACAAAAAAATTAAAAAAAAATAAATTTTTAAATTTGAATGCAGATATTTAGAGAATTGCGTCAGAAACATTTAGAGGTATGCCACTTCAAAATCCGATTAGGATAAGTTGAGTTACGGAGCTTAGAACTTCAGCCTTAGGACATTTCCCAATTTTTTTGAATTTCTACACATCATACATCAGGAAAATGACAAAAAAATTAAAAAAAAAATAAATTTTTTAATTTGAATGCAGATATTTAGAGAATTGCGTCAGAAACATTTAGAGGTATGCCACTTCAAAATCCGATTAGGATAAGTTGAGTTACGGAGCTTAGAACTTCAGCCTTAGGACATTTCCCAATTTTTTTGAATTTCTACACATCATACATCAGGAAAATGACAAAAAAATTAAAAAAAAATAAATTTTTTAATTTGAATGCAGATATTTAGAGAATTGCGTCAGAAACATTTAGAGGTATGCCACTTCAAAATCCGATTAGGATAAGTTGAGTTACGGAGCTTAGAACTTCAGCCTTAGGACATTTCCCAATTTTTTTGAATTTCTACAACATCATACATCAGGAAAATGGCAAAAAAATTAAAAAAAAATAATTTTTTTAATTTGAATGCAGATATTTAGAGAATGGCATCAGAAACGAATAAAAGGTATAAAAATGCTTAAGTTGAGTTTAGCATAAAAGCTCATAATGAATACATTTCTGGCAGACACTTGCGACGCCTCGCCGTCTGCAAAGATCGAAAGATCTAAAAACAAACACCGATTGCAACATTTGTTTAGATGGCAAAAAGGCAGAGGGGATCAACTCGCACACATAGCAGACTAAACAATGCAAAACTCAGCCAAATGTTTTCATTTTTCCCAACTCGCTGTGTTTGAGCACGCGCCAAATGATTCAGCGAGCTCACTGATGATAATAGCCCCTTAAATCCCCTATATTTCCCCCTAACACTTTGGATTGAGATCCAGACACGCGTGTGTGCCAAATATAGTTGGTCGGGTTACGTTATGGACCAGCTGTTGATATTGGCATTAACTCACTTTTAAAGGCCACAGCAAAAAGGAGAGTTCAGTCATGACTGCACCGAAGTTTTTGTGCCCTTAAAAACCATGTAGATTAAGAAAACAAAGTTGTCCAAAACACTTAGCTTGAAATATTATTTAGATAATTTAAATTGTTAATTTTTAAATTGATATCGCTTAATAAAAGCACATACCCCATATTGAAAAACTGAGCATCCTTGTTTCCCAGCCACTTTCAGCATACCCAGACATCTCTTTCAATCTCAATTTGAATCCATCATTACAAAGGCTGAAAATCAATTTCATTGATTCGCCTAATTTATGCGAGGGCCCGCGTTTTTTCGTGTCATCAAATTTTATGTTTATGCGCGTGTTTATGTCAGGCCTTTTTTGTTTGCCACAATAATGAGGTTTTTAATAGTCGACCAAATTTGGTAGCGGCTCCAAGGCGAAGGCTTTTTCGCCAGCTCGTCGTCAAGCGGCGTCTATTGCTTTATGACCGGGCCAAAACCATTACCAATCTCTTGGCGACATCGGGAAAAGCACATGACGGCCGAGAAAAGCTCACATAAATCGCTCGCCAAATGGATCGACGTCAGCCAGCAGTTTCCCATCGATGTGTGTGTTTGTCTGCGTTTGCCAGTCACATATGAAAAGCGAATTTTCTCTGGCCGAGCGCAAAAAAAAGCAAATAAAAAAAAGTAAAACGAAAATGTCGGAAAATTCGATGTCGGGGTTGAGAGTGTGCATGGTTTTTCTTTGGTCAAGTTTTCCTGCTGCTGACTGCTGGTTGCCTGCTACAAATATCGGAAAATTCCTTTGAGGATTTGCCACAAAGACGGAAAAGCCGCTGCGGCAAACCTTTGATGATTCCACACACACGCTCTCCATCCCTCTCCGACTCAATGTCTGTTCCTCTGGCATTTTCCGATAGTGTGACAACCCCCTTAAGAAGCCACCCCTCTTCACTCGTGGCGGTGGAAAATGTGAAAATGTTTTATGGCCCGCTTGCTAGCTCGCTTCCTCTCTTTCTCTCCCCCTCTCCCGCCGCTTTTCCGCTTTTCTCGAGTGTGTCGGCTGCTGCTGCTGCTTCTTCACGTACTTAATACTATTTGACTTTTTGGGGGAAAAGCATTTCCCGGGGCAATGTGTGTGTGTGTGTGTGCCAGAGTGAGAGTGGCAGAGAATGTGGATGTGAGTGCTCCTAAGCGGTTTTCCCAGCTGCCTCCGTTTTTGCTCCTGCTTCTGCTGCTGCTCGACGGCCATTCCTGTTCGCCTGTTACATAATTCGCGTAATTTATTCAATTTTGAGAATTAATTTAATTTTTCTTTACACACACGTGAGTTTTCCGCTATCTGGATGTATCCTAACGCATTCTTCGGCATTCAGTTTAGGGGCACACGTTTTTTAACCGCATAAAGGGGATTGTTTTATTCTGAGTGTCACGATACTATTATTCAGGGGCAACTGATCGATCATCTTAATTTTAAAAGTTTTGAGGATCATTTAATTAAGCCATGAAAACTTTCTGAAAATTTCTAAATTAATTTGAAACTATACATTTATAATTTCTTCACATTTGCAAAAAACAACAGCTTCACAGTATAAATTATAACCATCCAAATATAATAATTTATAAAAAATGTATAATACAATTATATATTTAAATTTATTTGATTTAAATTAAGTGACTGTAGAAATTTTACGTTCTTGCGGCGGCGACAGTAATAAAGCTTAATAAAAATTAAATAAAGCTTAAAGAAAATTGTTGAAAGTTATTCCATAATTCTTATGCTTAATTAATGTATTTAAACATATATTTGTTTGTTATGTGATATCCATTTTATTTAATAAAATTGATTTTAACACGTAGCGCCTAAGCATATGCTACATATTTGGTTGCCTTCATTTAAATGGTTCATGAACCGAATTCGCTCTTGCCTATCGAATTCGCTCTGCTACATTGCAACTCGCTAGAACGTTAAACATGTAGAATATATGTAAAATAAAAAACATTTGAAATTCCAAGCATATACACGAACCTCTTCGACATTTTCGAAACGAATTCGAACGCAGCTAAGCAAATTCGAAATAAACAATGCGAACCTTTGCATACCTTTAGGAGGTTGGCGTATAGCGCCCTCTATCGAGTGGGCCTCATTTAAATTTCCTATTAAAATACGACAATTATTATAAATAATTTTCCTCTTAAGGTATCGATGATGTTTTGGATTCTTTATTAAAAATACTCTACCATATTTTGACAGTAATTTTCATGGGTTGTGTGTACAGTAATGGCCATTCTTTAACGTTAATGTACAGGGTAACATGGGCTACGAACTACCGAAATATACAACACACCATACTCAACAGATATTTCCAAGGGCGTTTTCAACAGATTGCTTAATAAATAATTACAATGCTTACAATCTCCTTTCGAAAGGAGCCTGAATATGTTGCCATCGATTTCTGTAGTTAAACTCGGTTTGTGTATCACTCCAATGTGTTTCAGATCCAAAGCTAATACTAAAAAATATTTTGGGAGGGGCTTCGGAAGGAAGGAGAGTGTGCGGCTTAAATGAAAATTGCATTTATTTTGGCATGACAAATGTAGACGTATAAAATTAAACTAAACATGTACTAAATTAAAATGTAATAATCACAAATACGCGCAGCTAACACAAATCCGATTGCATCCCACCGTAAAAATAGTAATTGCTTTATATCACCAGTTGGCCAGGTTCCCTTCTCCGATTTGTTGGTTCTACCTTTCCTGTCCGGGATGTGGATTTCCCAGCCCGGACTGCACCGCTTTCTATCACAAGGGAATGATTTCTGTTTCCGTTTCCGCTTTCTGCTTTCCGCTATCCGTTTTCCGCTCTCCACACTTGCCCTAACTTCCGTTTGCTTGCACGCCGCGTCCTTTCTGGTTTCGAAATCGATTGTCAAAAGAAGAGTGTAGAAAGGTGGTGTATTTGGGAGTACAACTTAGGGACGGAGTGAAGAACGTTGGGAGAAAGTCGTGTCCTAAACTCTGCACCGATTCGGTTTCCGCTTTAAAGGATCTTTGTCTACAATTTGTTATGTTTTCAACCTACTTAAGTTCAGACTCTTTTCTGCTTGGTCACAAGAATTATACCTCGATTGAAGTGTGTGTTGAAGTGGGGCTCTACGTGGGTACTAGTTAATACCTAGTTAATATCTATTCATAGTTCTATGTAAATTCCATTTTGTTTTCTTTTGTTTTGTGGTATGCAGAACAGCTACTGTACGGGTGTATATATATCCATGGGTATATATTTAGAATCGTCTTCTAGATACCGATGCGTTGCGTGTGCATGTCTGTCTGTCTGTATAAACGTACAAAGCGCGACGGGAGAAGTTTCAGAATGCGGTAAAGCTACATCATCTAGCTACAATCCTGCTTCCTTGGGATCCCAAACGCCCCACTATCCACCGCTCGCACTAGGCCCCAAACCCCTTCTATGTACAGGTGATCTCTAACATATGGTGATAATGATAGCCCTAGACTAAGAACAAATCCCACAAGCTGTCCGCTTAGCGGATCATGTGCAGTTTCCATCGCAGCACGAAGTAGGCGATGATGCGCAGGGCAAAGAAGATTCCGATCAGGGCAACGGCGTCCACCCAAAACAGAGCGTTGTCCATGGACATCTCCTCCAGAAACTTCTTGGGCACGCGGTAGTGGCAGTACATTTGATTGCACTGCATCTTGGCCCGATCCATTCCATAGATGGCCACCATGGCACCTGAAAGATTAAGAATAATGTGAGTTACGCATATGTAAAGATAATCAGATACCAACCCACCTTCGAAGCCATAGCGCACATAACTGACGTAGGTGACCCACTGCAGGTAGCCCGGAATGGTGTCAAAGTTCACAAAGAACCCGGAGAACAATATCGTGGGTATGGTCGTCACTGGGCCGAGGAACACACCCGTCTCGATATTCATTCCCGCCCCGATCAGCAGTCCCAGCGACTGTGCCACCAGGGAGTTGAGCACGCAGATCAGCACGAACATCGAGACCCGCTCCAATTCCATTGGCTGTGAGGTTAGGTAGTACACCACCAGGACGTAGACGCTGGAGAAGACAATCTGCAAGAGAACATATAGGATTAGATAATGCTTCAGGCATTATATTGGATGAATATTAATCACCTGAAAGGGCATGTCCGCTATGGTCTTGGCGAAGTAGAAGGCCTTCAGGGAGTACCAGTAGTTGAGATGCTCCCTTACGAACACTGACATTTCGGTGGGAACTGCGAATTAAAGATTCCAGATTATTTTTGGCTGGCAAACCTCGAAATCGATGAACTCACAGGTCAGAATGGTGGGCATCATGGCCGTGAAGGTGGTGAATAGGGAGACAAAGAAGATGCATCCCGCATTGCTCATGATCTTGCTGGCCTCGTTGCCCACATCATAGTAGATCATGCCGATGATGGCTCCAACGATCACGTGGGAGAAGAGGCGCATGTGAGTCAGCATTTTGTCGCGCAGGATGGTGCGGAATGAGCGCTTGAGCAGGATCCAGAATTGCGTCCAGCCGCTGGTGGGGAAACCCGTCTTGTTGGGCAATGTGACCACGCTCTCGTGTGAATCCAGCAGCGAGGTCATGCAGCCCACCACGGCACTGGGTCCACCCGATCCGGAGCCCACCGCATTGTGGGTGCCCTTCGAGGAGCTAAAGCTGCAACTGTCGTCCACGGCATTGGTGGGCATAATGACCACGCTGCAGTCGGAGTTCTGGGACTGCTGCGTCTCCAGCTTCGGTGGTTTCAGCTCCGCAGGATCCTCGACGGGTAACGAGGGCTCCAGCTGCCTGTCCTCCAACGGCGGCTTCTCATCCTCCAGGGTCAAGATGGCCATGGCATTCTCCGCACCGCTGCCACTGCCCTTGACAATGTCATTGTGGCATCCCTTTTGGGCCAGCGTCAGTACATAATCCTTGTGCGAATACTTCTTGCAAGCCCCGCTCTTTACCGCATCCACCAGCTTGGGAACAGCATCGCCGTACTCCCCGGACGCCACCTCCAGGACGTAGTCAGCGGGATTGTGATATGAGGGGCATTCGTAGCCCAGGGATGATAGGTACGGCACCAGGCCCTTCACTCTGCCCTCGTAAACGCACTGGCCCTGGGCCAGCAGATAGAGATGGTCGAACTTCTCGAAGAGTCGCGCCGACGGCTGATGGATTGTGCACACTATGGTGCGTCCTCCTCTGGCCAACGATCTCAGCAGCGATATGAGCTGGAAGCAGGTGGAGCTGTCCAGTCCGGAGGTGGGTTCGTCGAAGAACATCACGGGTGGATTGTTGACCAGTTCGAGGGCAATGGACAGTCGCTTCCTTTGGCCGCCAGACAGATTGCAGGTCAGCGTGTTCACCGACTCCTTGAGGCCAATCGTCTCGAGGATCTCCTCCACCACCACCACCTTGGCGTAGCTGATCATGTTCTTGCCCAGCTTCAGATTGGCGGCCACCATCATGGCCTCGCGAACGGTCAGATTGGCGATCAGCACATCGTCCTGCATGATGTAGCAGGAGAGCTTGCGGAAGCGGCGCAGATTCCGCTCCTTGCTGTTGATCAGTACTGAGCCGCTGAGCTGGGAGGTTCTGTAAAAGTGCGGAGCTCCATTAGTTGGTCATGAAAAGGTGTAGTTATACTATCAGCTTAAAGTCATTTAACAATGACACTACGACATGAAGTATCATCTTTCTTTAAGACAGTTAAGACTGTTCATATCAAAGTGCAACCGATAAAATGGTCTTGGCTGACTCACTTGTAGCCCGCCAGGATGTTCATCAGTGTGCTCTTTCCGGCTCCTGAGGGTCCCATGATAGCTGTGATCTCTCCATTCCGGAACTTGCCCGAGACGCTCTTCAGGATGGTCTTGAATCCACGCCGATGGCTATCGGTCACTGAGTAGGATATATCACAGAACTCGATGTCCACCGGCGGCCGTTGGGGCAGATGGGTCAAGGCGATGGTTCCCTTCTTCTGGCCATTCGGACTGCCACCGCTGTTGTTGGCCACCTTGGGTGCCAAGGCATGGTTGTTGCTGCCCAAGCCGCCATTGCACAGATTGTTCTGGGACCTGAAAGGAAGCAGAGATGAGCTTTGCTTAGTTGTGAGTCATTTCAACTGAATCTCCGGCGCATTGCGTTGATTCCTACTTGGTCCTTTTTTTCAGGGCACTGACACAGCAGCCGTTCTTGGTCAGCTTGGTCTGCACCAAGGACATGGAGCGCTGGTGTCCTGCATCGCGCAGCATTTCCGCATAGGCCGCGGCATAGGCGGCGGACCTCCGGCGACTGACGTCCTCCTGGGATTGGGATTGGGAGGCAGCGGTCTCGAAACTGGAGTTCTGAATGCCCCCACTCTCCGCGCTGACGCAGCGGGTCAACGTCAGCTCCATGATTACTCTCAAACACCCAGCACAACTCACTTCAGCGGTTCATGCCGTGCACTTGGGGTTGATGCCGCCCCTAAACGACCTAAATGGTCAATCAATGGATCAATCAGCAGCGTCAGTCACTCAGTTCCCCATGCGTGCCCCCTCATCACACGGTTGTGTCACAGCCGTCATCCGCCGCCACCCATTCATCCCACGTTGGACGAAGACCAAAGTTCAGAGTGGTTTTGTTTCATTCATGAAACATGGAACGTCTGTCGTACCTTGGCCAAAGAGCCGAGTGCGTTTTCATTAGTGTTCGCTCGCATGCCGTCGACCGACTTCGATTGATAAGTCCGCCGACGCCGCCGATGCAGCGGGCCAATGCCAATTAACATTACATCTTTTGGGTGCAAATTAGTTGAGCTAGTTGGTCGAAATTGATTGATTGGGAAGCCGTCGACGTGCAAAGCAGCCAGTAATCAGCAGTTGCTGGGTGTGCAGCACGCGGGGATTAAAGGTCAGTGTATCAAGCTGAACTACTTATCACTGGCGTGCCGAGAACTCGGGGAAACCTAACAATGTAAGGCGGAACAGTGAAGCCTGCCAGATGGTGGACTTTTTAAAGTGTGGACTGCGTGCTTAGGGAAATGAAGTCCTATAAAAGCACGCTTTCAGTGTGTTCGCCATGGGTTCGTAGTGGGGAGTACTCACTGCATAAGATACAAATGCATCAAGAGATACTAGCCGCCTTTGTTTCCTGCCTATAGGTAGTACTGCTACTATGCCTAGCACGCACTATAGACTCCATTTGTGTAGAGTAAACAATTAGCTCCTGGAATGCGCTGCAATATAATTCCTATAATTTCTATAATTTCGGGCTGCAACTCGGGGCGGTCGTAATGGCAAGACATTAAACTGAAATTGGGGGCTAGACGCGGGGAAAGTCAGCTGTTGGCGGTGGGCCATGCTAAGTGAATACAGATACAGATGCAGATACAGATACATTTGCGATACATACAGATAAACACTCCTATAAACAATTGCTGCTGTGCTTTGTTTTTGCCTTTGCTTTTGCTTTCGAATCGCTTCGCTTTGCTTTGCTCTGCTTTGGCCTCTTTCAGCTACGATAAACATGACTCTCAGTATCGGGCAAGTTGTATCTGTGTGCGTGGTGGCATTGCGAATCATTTCCCGCGAATAACTCGGTGCACGAGCACCCAGAACGGGTACATTTCGAGTGCGCATGCACCCAAAGTGCAGTGCTAACGAACCAGCCTGAACCCAACTCAACGAAGACTCGACGAAGTCTGAGGCACTTTGTCTTGCGAAATGCACTCTGAACAGCAGGGATTTTGTATGTGTAAGCGTGTATCTGTGTTTGGCTTCCGTTTTAGCGGGAGGCAGAACTCCAGTCTTCTCCTTGCAGCCACTCAATGGGATTCAAATGGAGTCGGTCACGCAATCCCTTCCGGGTTCACTTGATTGCTTATCAATCTTAATGCGTGGCAATTGTTGCCAGGTTCGAGGGCACCGATGGCGGCCCTGCTTAATTGATTGATAGCCAGTCATAAAGCAGCAGCTGCTACTGGTAACTGGTAACTGGTAATCACTTGATATCTGCCGACTGCGGCACACTCTAGTTATAGTTTCCACATAGTTTTGTGAACCTTGGGGCCGCGGGGCAGTTACATTGTGTTCGCACCGATTAGGCACAGCCGGAAATATCAGCTGGCGTTAGATCATCCCGCTTAACGACAATTAAGCGATTTATAAATGCCTGGAACGGAGCGGGCGGGTCCACTGCGATTAATAAAAGTATTTATAAAAGCCAGTGTGCCAACGATGGTATCTTGGACAGCAGGAGTGGCGCCTTGCGAAAAGTGCCAATTAAAGCTCTTAAATTCCAGCGTATTCGTGTGCAATTTTCATAAATATGTAGTGAGAAGTCTAGGATCCTTTACAAGCTCTCAAGGAGAACTCAATTAAACGCGCGTCTGTAGTGATTGCTAAGAAAACGTCATGAGTTTTGAATTATAGCAACAAACGGCTGGTTGAGCGAGCACTTTTAGTAATAAACTTTTTATGGTCACTTAAACCCGAACTTTGTGAGCAATTATCAGGCGTTAATATTTCTATATAAGTTAATCATCATTTTTAAGAAAATGAAATTACGCAGCACTTGCCATGGACCTGTCTTTATCAATCCACCTACAACTCACGTGCACTCAAGTCGGCGGCAATTATTCAAGCGTTTTGCATGGGAACAATCATGTGGCTTTAATGCCCGGACCATTTACGTTATTAGGGAAACGCGGCAAGGCCAATCAAATATGCAAACGGAAGTGTGGGGGGCGGATGGCGGGTGGCGGGAAATGGATGTGGGGCGGACGTTCCCGAGCGTGGGAGCAGCTCCTGTCCAGGACCGCTGCTGCTCCCTTCTCCGTGCCCTCGAGGCGGGCAGAAGGTCAACATGCCTCGAGTGTGTTTGCTGGCTGACTTTTGTGGTCGTCCGAGCGGCTCAAGGGTGCACAGGTTGTCAATGGAAAGCGGGGAAAACTTGGGGGACGGCGTGGCGCCTCAAAGTCTAACACTGCACCCAGGACTTTTATCGTTGTCGCTGAGCTGGCGGCAACTTCACATTACATAACCGGCCGGCGTACACGTCGCACAGTCTCGTTCACTTGCCAAAAAATCACATAGACAAAAAGGAAGAGAAATCACACGTAAAAAGTCAGCACGTGGTGGAGCACGGCAACTGCAAACTGGCAGCTCAATAAAGAGGGTGGCGAATGGCTGCTGAAGCGTTTTCCTAATAAGCACATAAATATTTTAGGCCGAAAATCAAACTGACGGAGTGCCGCACACAGACGCGATGTTGCCGCAGGACTAAAAGGCTGAAAAGCCGAGCGGAGTCCAACTGCTGACTGCTGACTGCGGCACGACGTTGGACAGCTTGGCGGCTTGTTCGATTTTTCCAGGCGTGCGGCGCCGCGAGGTCCTTCTGCTGTGCTGCTGCCACGTGAAGGGGTATATCGGCTGCACTGTGCAGCTATGTGGCAAGTTGCGTGCATGGATAGTTCCGAGATTTACTCACAATACTTAAAGCTCTTCAAAAACTACAACTGAATTCATATATACATATATGTATGTGCACGGATTTTGAGAAAGCTTAAAAACACTTTGAAAGCTCAAGGATGTTTTGCCATCTCCTTAACTAATTATGTTTCCCCAAAAATATTAGCACGACTTTTCAAAACTGTGGTCATTTCGGGCTCATCTCATCTTACGGTTGATAGGATAGAAAACCCTGAGTAGAGGGAAGCCCACGTTCGGTGCTGCTCGAAGGACCCCCAGGACCTGCTTTGTCTGCCTCCTGGTATTGTTTTGCTTGGTCTTATGGCTTTTACGGCTTTTTGCCTTTTGGCGGCGTTTCATTCACTGTTACTTGTTTTTTCTCTGCTTTCCCTCGCCGCACATTGTACATACGTGTATGTGCGTTTGTTTGTGGCCTATTATTTATGGCAGCGCCGACAGTGGGCCTGAAGGGGGTGGACCGGGTCGAAAGGACACGCAGGATAGGTTGGCATTTAAGGCGCTCTTTATGGCCGCCTTCCTGCTTGCTTCCCATCGGGTCCTTGGACCTGGGAACTGGGAACTGCGACCTGGCCGCCAACCAACCTGATTGCTGGAATTGTGCAGCATTCAGGGAGGGATGCTGTCCTTCAAAAGGCCCCAGCTGCCCACTAGTTTAATTACGTTGGTGTATCTGCACTGATTGGTTCGTGGGCGTGTTCCAGTACCAAGTACCAATAGATTTTTCATTTGCATTTTAATTAAATTGGTTAGCACAAAAGTCCAGGGCTGATGGGCAGACAGTGTGTCAGTGTTTCAGTGTTTCAGTTCAAATGCAACTTAAGACGCAGGGTTTTTGGTTCTTGAGCAGCAGCTCTAAAATTTCTATACAACTTTGCATAATTTATGAGGAGGCGTGGCTGGCACCATTACCCTGCTGACACGCGATTTGTGAGACGGAGGGCGGAGGACGGAGGACGGAGTCGAGCCATCGATTTTCCAGGCAGTTGCTGCCTCTTCTGCTGCTTCTGCCCTTCCTCATCCGGCGCACCTCAAATGTCCTGGCGGGTGGCATGTTCCAAGCGGATGGCAGATATGAGCATTACAGATGCGTGCTAATTTTGACTCGACGGTCTTATTAATAGCTCCCTCCCGAGATCCCACTCCCCACGAATCGCTTTGATTTTTGTAATGGTTTTATGCGCTTAGGTGTTAAAAATAGAAGTGTCACCTCAGCGGAAAAACGACTTCTGACAGCGTGATTAGTTGCTGATACTGGGCCGCCCTGCCACCCACCTAGCCACTTGCCGCCCACAGGACAGCCAGTGTCCTTGGCAGGCAGGAGCGGAAATTGCCGAGTGGCCGCAGGAACGAATGCGATACTACCCAGCAGTTCAGGGTCAGGGGACGCACTTCAGTCCGCCACCGCCATAATCCCCACAGCTGGAGTGACAGGTTCCTGGGTAACCCGAAACGGCCTCCTAATCCCGGTTAATGCAATTATGCTTAGGTATACGATGATGTGCAATTGGAAATGTGTTACATCATTGTGAGTCCGGTACGTAGTAGTCTTAAAAGAGTTTTATGTTTCATAAGTCTAGCAACTCACCCGTGGCTGTTCTGCTTCAGGTCGTTAGTCAGCTTCAGTTGGCTGAGGAGGGGCACTGGCTCCTGTTTGGGATTGGGACTCGGATTCGGATTCGGAACCAGGCTGCCGCTGCCCGTGGAGAGCGTAGATATGGACATGTTCCCGCTCGTGTAGAGAACGGCATTGGGTGCCGCGGTGGCCGCCGAATCGGAGACCTTGTTGGGACTCTTGGCCGCCGGCAGGATGACGGCGTGGGAGGAGCACTTGTCCACCAGCGGGACACTGGAGGCCTGCAGTTCGTTCATGGCGCTCGTTTGTGTCGTTTTATTTGAGAATGCGTTTAGTTCCTGCTGCAATCGCTATTGGCATATGGCGTCAGCATTTGGCTCAATTGATTTATGCTTTATATTCTTGTGATAAGTATTTTGCGACTTTGAATGCTGCTTTTTAATTGAATACACTCGGGATTGGCATCTGCATTGGAAGTACACGTGTAAAGTGGGCTGCACCACTCAGCTCTCAGCTCTGCAACGAAAGGGAATTGGTAAGTGGAAAGCGATGCAATTCGAGCATAATTTAAATGAAGGTGTTGCCCATATCGATTTGACGAGCTCACACAGCCAGATGCGTACATGAAGCACTCTTAATATTACATCACAGCCCAGGAAGTACCACCTCCCCTCATCGCCCGGTTCTAAAGGTCTCCGGCTCAATAGTTGCTCAATGGCAGCTAGCAGCATGAATTTCTAATTACTGAACAATGCCCAGACACCGATACAGACACACCTACAGATACAGATACAGACACAGACACAGACACAGATATATTTACAAACACAGATACAGATACAGATACAAACACAAAGGCCAGTTGAGAAACGACGACAGCGTCAAGAACAACCGATAAACGCTGAATTCAATGCCAGACACTCGAGGGCTCAGGGAATGGGCTTCATAAACAGCTGTATTCGCAGTCCGGCCAGGGAACACTGACCAGTGCACCAGTACCAGGCACCATTGGAGATGCGGTGGTTCCCAGAGTTCGTAGCTCTCCCAAAGTCCACTGCAGCGGGAGTGGAGAGCTGGGTTTGCTTGCACTGGGAACCAATTTTGCAGGTGGCCGTCTGATAAGATTTCCTACTTGTGCCGTTCGGCGATGAGAATTCCGACTACTCCTACACTGGGGTGAAATGTTATCAAGCGGATCAGTTGAAAAAAAAACGTATGGGGAAAGTCTGGATCCTCTGCAAGATTTCAAAATACATTTACTTGTATATTCGAGAGTATGGTTGGATAAACTTTTTGCTAAACAAAACTGTGTTTATGTTACCAACAAAAGTTTCTGCAGAACTTTGTACTATTTGCATATCACGTGTTTTTGCGTAGCACAAACCCAAATATCTTCTCATCACAAATAAATTTCTCTCTCCTTGTGACCAAGCCAATTCTAAAATCAGTTTTGTAATAGGAAGCAGTTTTCACGCGTTTATAAATTGAGCACGTAAACAAATTAGGCGGATGTTTGGTATTTAACAACTGAGTTACTTGCTCGGTTATGCAGTTCTTTTTTAGAACATGATAAATACGCCTACATACGGCCTATGGCAATGTGTACTTAGTACTAGGAGGGCGAGTTTCTCTCAGTGTACACGGGTTTCAATTCCAGATTTGTTTGCAGCTCGCTTCGCGATTGGCGATTAGATGGGCAGACCGATAGGCTTCCTGCTACAGGCTTCCTTTTCGCTAATCGCCGGAGATGTAAGGCGCGTAGTCGCACACACTGCGAACTATGGTTATATGGCCCTCGTTGACTGGACTGGATGGCCAGCTGTTTGTCGGCCAACGACTCGTTATCTGGGCACAGGGAACTGGGCACACCGGCCCACTTGGCACACTTGGCACACTCGAAACTGGCCACGCACAGCGACGGATTGACTAATCTGGGCATCAGGCAGCCGGACGATGGGGAGTTTTGAATCTTGGAGTCTTGGGGCCTCCGAAGTGGGCACTGCTCTCACAGATTTCGTGGGTGCATGACCCGAGATGAGGTCCTACCCTAACCGTAATCGAAGTAGGTCAGTCTGCACACTCCTCGCGAGACACTGACCCCCGAAACTTGGGCTGGTGCTATCTGGTTTTCAGTGCTGTTTTCCTTCTGTTTTTTTCGGGTGGCGTGAGCGGCTGAAGACTTCAACCTGCACAGATGTGTCATCTGCTATTAACAAATGGCGTGGGGCATAAACATTTGCAAACAACAGCCACCGCCGGAGAATTTTGCAAAGAATTGCTTCTGAAAAGAGAGCGCAGGCGCTCTGTCGCGATACAAACGGCAGGAAAACATTAAAGATACATATGGGTCTACACAAGGGCAGGGGGGAGGAATGTTACATGTAACTCCGGCTGCGGAGTTTATTTTGGTGGAGGGTGGTTGGTTGGCTGGCCAAATAAATCTGCGACTGCAGATTGCAGCAAGCCCGAAAAAGACGCAATTACTCCAGTCGAGCTCACCTTTGGATTTCTATTGAGATGGGGCCTATTTCCGAGAAGAGCAAAACACCAATGGCATAAAACGTGTTTTTGGTTTATTGGCATTATACTCGTATATTTTTTGGACGCTGCCAGAAGAGACCGTATTCACTGTACTGCTGCCGCGCACATTAGATACTTTTCGGAGCGCCTTCAGATACTCAGACTGCGAGATACTCGTGCTCGTGCCTTGCCGTCTTTGTTGTACTCTGTGTTATGGTCGCGCTAGCCAGCAAACAAACAAACAACGCCAGCTATTTAAATGCGCCACAATTCAACGGGTCTACGGTAGTGAGAGCAACAGAACCGAAATACCATTACCAGATGGTAAGCGAAGCACTCCAGGAATACGCAAAAGTGTATCTTGGGCCTGGGCGAAACGTGTTTTCACGCAGCACGATCCGATCCGTTCTGTTCCGATTGGACTCGATTCAACTCGATTCCTGCCCGAATTCCCGCTCGACCGCAGGAGGGGCAACTACATTCAGGCAGCGCGAACGACGAAGAACTGAACGCAAACGCAAACTGACACTGAAACTGAAACTGCGGCGGCTGCTAAGCTACCAGCTACCAGCTGCCAGCTGAGAGCGCTTTCGCTCGCGAGCATACGTTCTGGTATTCTGGCGCTTTGGTACTCGTATCTGTATCTGTATCTGCATTTGCATCTGTATCTGTGTGAGCCAGCGCAGCCATCCGGATACCGCCAGTGCTGCCTGGCTGCGTGTACCTGCTGTGCAAATGGTTAACCCTACACTCGGATACTAAGTATGTGTTGAAATAATATTCGGTACAACATTTATTGGCTGCTTGTACCTATTTCTTAATTTATCTACCGCTGTGCTGAGTTATGTGGATAGGTAGATTGGGTGGTTACTGCATCTATAGGCACAGATAGAAGATACTGCCGTATAGATACACGTTGTATCTGCCTCCAATAAACCAGATACTTTCCATGAGCCACTCGGTACAGGTACAGTTACAGGTACAGGTACAGACGAGAGTGTCTACCATCACTCGGATACTACGGGTGTTTCGTCAATGGGGAAGTCGCAGCGCTCTCGCTTTGTCCAACGTCCAATTCAAATGCTGGCATACACTTGAATTAATCCGCGTGTGTGTGTGAGCGGTGGTGCGCATGGCGCATAGGTGTGCGTTGGCGTTCTGCGCTCCGAAACAGCTGACTGTAAACACACACAAAGAGCGGCGGCCCAGTGGGAAATCCAGTGCGATTCGGGTTCAGCTGCACTTGGATTTGATGGAGCGATACTCCCCAGAGAGGCGCGGGCAGGGAGCGCGGGGTACACGGCGAGAAAAGCGGTTATTTCGAAATTAAATTAGGCAAACCTCTTTTTTTAATAGCTGTTAAAGCTAGCATTACCAAGTGCCAGTTGACACGACTTACGTGCACGACTTAAAGTGTAGATCAGTAAAGTGCCGATAAAGAGATGAACTTTCCCCAGTGATCAGCTCGATTTCTCGCTCTGTAGTAGCTGGATATTCCTGAGCAGCTTCATTGTTTTCGCTTACATTAATAGTCTGAGTGATAGCGAACTTTGAACCTCACGATCGCAGAACAAAGCACTCAGCCAAACAAAAAAACAAATGCGATTTCTTCGAATAATGCGAGTGGCGGCAAGTGGGGAAGGAGAGGGGAGGTGATATGAGTAATCCTCCCCCCTGTTTCCACATTTTGTCCCCTATTGGGTTGCATATCATATCTCAAACAAAGCCAAAACGTGATTCTATACTTCCAGCAGCGAGAATCGAGGAAAATGGCGCAGTGGGGGGAATTGTAATCGCATCGACCTTAATATTAGTTTGTTTCGTATCAGCCGCCAATTGTTTTCAGCTACTACTTATTTAAATGAAGTGCCAGCTCCGACCGAAGCCCATGTAGCACCACTAATATGTGGAACTGAGTGCTAAGCTCTGCTGGAAAATATGAAAGTGCCAATGGACGATAGGCAATGGTTTCAGTTTCGGTTTCAATGGCTTTCATGGCAATGGGAATGCCCTATTAGTCTGGAGTGTCATTGAGTCTTATCAGTTAATGGGATTGCCTTTTGCTTTCAGCCAAGTGCAACTGCACTTTCCGTAATGTGTTGCGAATCTGGCAGGTACGTTTGGCCATTAAGCCATCTTGGGTGCAAATTGCAGTGCATTCGAAGTACTTTCAGGTGTTTCTCCGGACTTCAAATCTGGAATTGCAGCGATGGGTTCCCAAAACATTTGTCCGTGCATAACCAAGTGCTCGGGAACGTAATGGATAGCTGGCTATAAGCGAATGCAACGTCAGTGGGTGGACTACGTGCCAGACAAACCGTTTTGGGGGCTGTTAGAAAACCTTTTTTCAGAAATCCCGCGGTGACTAATATTCAAATCTAGCCATCCGTAACGGAAAAGCTCTCAAGCGCGAAAGCTTCCTACAGAACATAGCTTTCGACTTAAGCAGCTTGTCGATTTCGAAAAAGCCTATGCCGAAAAGTAGTGCCTATAAGGCGGTTCATTTGAAATGAAGCCGAATGGAATTAGTTATCAGATGTGTTCCAAGTTTTCAGTGTAAACTCCCTATGAAGTACCATTTAAGTATGTTTCTGTTTGTTTTATTTGGTTCTCGAATTCGGTTAGCTTGGCGTTACAATTAGTAGAGTTTATGGTACAGATAGCAGCTAGACGTATATTAAAAGTCAGATTTCCACGGACTGGTGCACGGTGAACAACCTCCCATTTCCTCCTCCTCCTATCCTCTCTTAGTTTCACTGGCCAACATGGTTGCTGTCAAATCGCCAGCGGATCTGGAGCAATCCTCAGGTGGACTGGCGTATCTTGATGCTGTCCCGATCCCGCTGATCCTGCTCGTCGCTGTCGCAGTCGCCGCTCTCGGCGGTGTCCTCATCCTCGCCGGCGGAGCTATCCTTGGCGAACAGGTGCCTTAGGCAGCTCCGCTTCACGTATAAAAAAGCGCACAGGGCGCAGAGCAGGAAGATCACGCCCACGGAACTGCCGATGATCAGGGCCCGCACTTTCCGCTGCGATGGCACGTCGATGAGGAGCTCGTGGCTGGGCACCGATTGCTGCGTCTCAGTGCCCACCGCCAGGACCTGCACCTTGAACAGGGTGTCCTCCTTGAGGTGGCGCAGCTGGTAGTAGTTGTCGAAGGTCTCCGCATGGCCGATGAGGAAGTGCTCCGGCTCCTTCCACCAGCGAACGGCGTACAGGCGCAGGCCCTCCAATCCCTGGACGGGATGCTCCCAGTGGAGGAGCCAGCCCTGCTGGTTGCTAATGGCAGTGAGATTCCAGGGAGCTCCCAGTCCCCCGGCAGGGGCAGTGACCTGACCCAGATCGTGTTGCAGCTGCTGAGCATCGAAGTCATCCGCTCTGATGGGCGAGGCTGCAATGGATATGTTATTAGCAACTTGTCTATACTCCTAACCCAGGAGGATGAAACAGAATCATACGTAGCGTTTGGAAGCGGAACTGCTTGCTGAACATGCCGTCTCCGTATTTGTCCTGGCTGAGCACCATGAATTCGTACTCCTTTCCGGGCTGTAGATGCTGCACGGTCGCCTCCATCACCTTCTTATCCAGCACGCGCAGGGTTCGCCATTCGGGGGCTTCCATGAGTCGATACCACACAGTGTACTCCAGATTGGGGCGCAGGTATCCTAAGGCAGGGTACATAACTTAAAACCAACTGCGCTTGGGAAGTATATACTTAGAGAGCTAATTGGACAGAGGACTCAAGTTGACGGACTGCAAATCTGGGATGCAGGAGGCACACATGATGGCTGCACACTAAGCTGCCGTTTCACACACACGTACGTGCGGCCATCAACGAAATCCCATCGCACGCCATATCGAATGCAGTGCGGAGCATCTGGCCTGCGTCCATTTCCACACCCAATTACACCCATTTTCTCACCTGGCTGCCAGCGTATGGTGATGCAGGTCTCCGTGCTGTTGGCCGTGAGATTGTACGGCGCCCGCGGCGCGATGTTCTCAATCATGAGCTCGGCCTCCGCCGTAATGGTCGCCGCCTCGTTGGTCGCCGAGCACTCGTATATTCCACGGTCCTCCTCCACCAAGCCCGTGATAGTCAGATTGCCGCCGCTGAGACTGAACCTGTCCGCCGGCAGCGGCTGCCCGTCCTTCTGCAAATTGGTCGGGTGCGGAGTGAGTGTCAGGGCACCGGGGGCGAAATCGGAGTTACACCGGGAAGTCAGAGGAAATCACATGAAATGGGTCAATTGGAGCCTTTATCGGGTATCAATGAAGGGAAGCTCACATCGATTGTTTAATAGGAACCAATCTCTATGCTCTGGTGGAATGACAGAGTGGATGGTATTAAATGCTCAAGATGGCCATAGCCACATGTGACTGTAACCACTTTTTCTGGCTGTGCACGTACAGGTAGTGCCGACCGTATGCATAATTAAAAATGCAATCAAGTGAGACTGCAGCTCTCCCCTTTTGTCATTACCATTTTTCAGCTGCCTTTCGCCATTTCGGGCAGCGCAAAATGACAGGGCGGAGCACATGGACAATATGGACTCACCCTGCTCCAGACAATGGAGGGCCGATTGTTTCCGTCCCGGTCGATGGCTTCGCAGGGCAGCTCGGCGGCCTCGCCCAGCTTCTGGATGTAGATGGCCTTGGGCGTGACGCTGAAGATGGGCGGCCGGAGCACAATCACGCTGATGACCGGCGATGGTCCGTCCGTGCCGAGGTCGTTGTAGGGCGTGCAGGTGTAGCTGCCGGCGTGGTTCTCGTCCACCTTGGCGAAGAACAGGCTGCCGTTCATCTTGTAGAAGACCCCGGGCACGTTGTACGAGTCGAAGAGCAGGCCGTCCTTCTCCCAGCGCAAATTCTTCAGCGGCGGATTCGCCCGGAAGTGGCAGTCGAGCACGGCGGGCTGGCCGTACGGCAGGAAAACCTCCGGCGGGGCGTAAATCACCTTGGCCTTATCTGGACATTATCAATATAATGTATGAAATACGACTTGTATTATTCCGAAGTACCCACATTGTATGTTGAGAAAGGCCTTGGCCGTCTGCAGTTCGCCCTCGCTATTGCGCACCTTGCACTCGTACTCGCCCAGGTCGCTCATCATGGTGGGATCGATGCTGAGGCTGCCATCGGGACCCATGTAGGATCTGCGCACCAGATCCTGCACCTCCTGCAGCAGCACGCCGTCCTTGTACCAGGAGGCCTGCGAGTTGTCCGGATACTTCATCACGCAGTGAAAGAAGGCGGTCTGTCCCTCCTGGATGGTCTGATTCACCGGCGGAATGCGGATGAGCGAGCCACCCTGGACCGCCAGGTGGTAGGCCGTGCCGTTGTTGCGGACCGAGGGCGAGCGATTGGGGAAGCTAACTTGGCAGTGGTACCAGCCCTGGTCCGATTCCCGGATGGCGGTCAGATTCACGGAGGCGCGTCCAAACTCCGGATGGTTTTCGACCAGGTGCAATCGGCCATTAAATAGCTCATTGGTGGAGGTCTCCTGCTCGTACCAGGTGAAGATTTTCTTGCTCTGTGGACGAAGCAATTTGTATGTATAATTTGTGTAAGAGCATACCAACCATAAAATTGCAATGCGAATGCAGCTCTGGATTGCCTTGTACCTAGATACAAATTTTGCCTGCTTGTTTGTGATTTTGCTGCGCCATCTCGGCTGCAATTGTAGTTATAAATCATGAGCAATGCGGAATCTATATGGAGAGTACGCCCACGCCCACGCACACTCGCTCTGCAGCAGTGTGTGTGTGTCCGACACGACGTGTGTGCGATTGTTCGTGCCCCCCGATTTCTCCCCGTGCACCATTATCATTTTCGCAAACTCCCGCTGCGCCCTCACAACAGTGGGCCACCCATTTCCCCCAGCTACCCAGCTGCCCAACTACCCATTTTCCCCGTAACCATGATGGTGACGTGGCACAGCGGTGGGCTCCCCCCAAAACCCCACAAGAATATAACAATAACCATGGAAGGCTGGCGGGGGGATGCGGAAGGGGTGTGGCACCCATGCCGCTACTTTGTTGACAAATTTAAATGGGCTCACGTGGCGCGGTGCACTTGAAGTGCTCAATGCTAGCTCGCCCCTGAAATGGGACTCGAATTTAATTCGGCACTATTCAAGAGCAATGCGATTCTAGTTCACCAAGGTGGGATATGGTCGATAATCGACTTAATTGGGGCGATGGCCGAATTATGCGCCAATTCATTATTTAAAACCACTTCCATTATCGTGGAAAACTGCACGCCATAAATCAGCTTATAGCGCTGAAAAACTACGTGTAGTCAACTAACCAAAGTTTCGGATTTAAAATCAAATACCTGGGTGGCCATGAAGTATCTTGTGGATGTCACAGTCTAATTTAGCACACAAAAAGATCTAAGCTAGCCAATAGATTATGGGCCTGTAAATGGATAATAATTCAATTCGAAAGCCGCTTTTTTTGTTCAAGCTATAGCTGCTTTGCCGTTTTTTGCCTGGCGGCATATTAAATTATTTTTATTTTAATTAATGCTGAATATATTTGTCAATATTTATTAAATATACGGCCGGGCAATTATGCTCGTGCATAGGCGACGCGCGGGGAAAAAAGGCCAGGCAAAATTATAATAATGGCATGCGAGTAAACAGAATGTGTTTGCGTTGCATCATATGGCAAAGAGTCGGTAAAAAAGCGCGTTAAGCTTAAATTATTTAAATGCAATTGAATCTGCTGCGGTCGCTGGCCGCTCATCTAATTGCCCCGCCACACACATTTTTATGCTCGCCTTGTTTGCGCACTTGACTTTCGTCTATGTGGCTCATATGTGCCAGTAGTATAGTACGTGTGTGCTATATGCGATATAGCATACGTGTGTATGCTGTGGCATTTACCGGGCTAGGACTGTCACACCCCATAAGCCGCATGCTAGGGATTCAGTTTTCCCGGTTATTGATAGCCGCTCGACCGCAGAAAGGCAGCTGTGCAATGGGATATGGGCTGCGTATTAATTGTGTGCCGCTCCAGCGTCGGATGCAGTGGGTGTCAGTTGATCTATTGACATTAGGTTGGTGCTTTAATTGAGATCGGGAAAGATGCACCGGCATCATGCGGCATCAATGTCACCCACACAAGGCATCCCATGGCATCAAATGGCATCATATGGCATCACACCCGTACTCGCAGTTGGCCAGCCGCCTTGACTAGATTATGGTGCACTCAAGATCCGCCCGTCCTGTCTGATTGCAGCCCATGACTATGATTATGTGTAGTACACCCAACTGTGTGCCAAGTGTCGTCTGCCGCCGCACACACATTTATCAGCATTACCTAACCAATTACAAACGTAACTTGATTTATCCGGTGATTTCGCCGTCGTTGTGGCGCGAAAATGTGCAGCCCAGCCTCGCGGTGGCCGTGAAAGTCGCTCGACAATATAGAATTTGGAATATGGGATATGGAATAAATTTGCAGACACGGGCATTCTAAATAGTGTACTGTGTAGTGCCATATAGTTACTCACTTGCCATAAATCAGACAGATTATGCATATTAGAGCGGACTCTAATCCCGCGCACGAATATTTGTTTAATTACCCGCCATTCCGAACTGGAGCGAAAACCCAAGCCGAAGCCCATTTTTCAACGCAATTAAAGTGTATCTATCAAAATGACATCATGACCCGCTGACCGAGTGGACAAAAAGCAGAAGAGCACAATGGAAAATGGGAGTGACCACCGAGGAAAGCGGAACAATATCGGAAAAAGAGCAAATTAAGTAGGGAAAAGCATAAGCGATGCGACCCCTCGATTACCGATGGGCATGGGCATGGGCATGGGGCACCATGGGTTAAGGGGTCAGATGTGGACATTTGATGGCCACTGATGACGGGCGTGTGCGATGAATGGCAATTCACTCGATTTAAATACTAACGCGCGCGCGGAACATATTTCAGTCTGAAATTCGCACTGATTGTGTGCGAATGCGATGAATTTGCAATTGAATTAAATTGCATTACTCACAGTTGTCAACAAAATGCCAGCCATTCAATTCGATTGAATCCAATTGAAATTGATTTCAACTGGTCCACTTGCCCCGCAGTCTTTGATGTCACACTTCACATTGACACTCTTCGCTTTTTGCGATTTGTTTTTTCATCCCGATGCCAGCTGGGCTGGTAATTTAAAGTGTTTGACGATACTGAAATCAGTTCTCGCTGCCTCAAATTAAATTTAAATGCAGCACCAATGCAGGCGCACAAGGGCAGGGACTCCACCAGGATGCAACCCGATCGACTGCATGTGGTTGCGCTTTAATTAGTAGCCAAGGGCGGGCCCCACCAGCAGCTCCCTAGCCCCCGGCCCCAGGCCACCTTGGCCACCCCGTGCTCCACGGGAATGGTGGATGGGGCCACCCCACTGGCACGACGATTGCATTTTCAGCGATGCGATGCACTTGTCAAAAACAATGCACTGCCTGCACCAATGAAACACCAAGTAAAATTTGGCGGCGCTAACATAAGCAAGCATCTCTAAATTACCAATCTAAAGCCAATAAAAAAATAATTATCATAATTATTGCGTCTATTTAAATTATTGTAGAATGAAATGATTGACCTTAAGCCCTAGTTGGTATTCAGAAGTTTAAGGACTAAACCTATCCATTCATGGACTTAAGTGAGTAACCAAATAAAATATTATTTTTTTATGGAAAACTCCTTTTTTGTATCTTGGCGAATTAAGAGAATTTCGTTGAACTGAAAATTAAGTCCCACAAAAACCTTTATACAAATAGCTTGTTAAATAAATGGATGAAAATGCAAGGATATAGGGATTTTGCATTTTTTCTTGAATTCCTCATTTAAATTCGCACAGTTTTTACACAACTGGGATTCTCGCAGTGTGGTCGTAAAGTCTGGCCCTTTTAATGAATGTGGGAGCCGCGTTCCATGCTGCGCTCCACCAGCAACGTCCAGCAGACGCAATTAAGGCTAACCAAGCATTCCGGACGGGCCCTGGTCAGTCAGTCAGTCCGTCCGGGGTTTGGAGTCCGGGATTCGGGGTCCGGGTCCGGGGTCCGAGCCACCTACGTGTCTGATAAATTAATAATTTCGACAATTTCATTTAAGAACTGCGTGCGCGTCGGCGTGAGCCATAAATAACTGAGTGGGCAGCACAGATAAAAAAAACACTGGCCTGTATTTACATTTTCGCATCTTTTTGTGCGGCAAGTAATATTAAATTATATCCGATATCCACAAATAATCACTCATTGCCTTAAACGACATCAACGTGTGCCAGCCAGCAAACTTACGTCCTTGCTCCAGTGCACCAAGTAGGGAATGGGCGCATCGAAGGGGAAGTCGATGTAGCAGTTGAAGACCACGTGGGAGCCCACTTTGGCCTCCAGGTTGGTCTGTCGCCTGTGATCGCGGGCGCCGCTCGTGCAGGATATGTTCATTAAGAAAATGAGCGCCAGCAGGGCCAGTAGCGCGGATCCGGATTGCCGGAGTGTTCTGCTGCGTTTCGCTGGCATTTTGATGTATGACTTATGTATTCTTGCGATTCTCACTGGCTGCACTTGTTGCACACGGTCACACACGCGCGGTGTCTTGCATAATGTTTCCGCGTTGCCAGAATGCGCAAAATCAAATTAAAATCCAACCGAAATCAGGTCAATTGGGGGCCTAAACGAAGCGCAGCTCTCTCGCGGAATACGGAATTCTTCTAAGGCGCACGAAACCCGATCCGGTGTTTACTATATCTTTGTGCGCAGTTCCGTTCAGGTATTGTATGACATACTAGTATATTGTGCGGCGGCTATGTTGTCTACAGGTCTTTCGAGGGTCGCGAGCTGAACTGAACTGAGCGGCTGGAGAAGCGCTACTGAATGCCGAGACCGAGTCGAGATCAGACTGCAGAACGAGTGACAGATGAGGCCTGAGCTTTTGTGGTGATGTATGCTGCACAGCAAGAATGCGGTGGTTCGTTTGATTGAGTGTCAAAATAATGTTGCGAACCGGAAATTGTGTGTGCCAGAGCAACTTGATCTCATGTGAGACGTAATCGGTATATATTTCTTTCGGTGTAGGCGGCCAAAACGCCGAGCTACCCAGCCGATCACCATTTCTATGCTGCTCAGCAGCGATCTTCTCTCACCGCTCGCCTGTCAAACGTTTGACTGCATTTGACATTTGACACACGCCCACGCCATCTGCTTGGATGAGGTCTCCTTTGTCTGGGAAGCGTCTCCCCCACAATTCGCTTTCGCAGACGTTTATCCACTTAAGTAATTAGCCGATCGCCAAAGTGTTGCCGATAGCATTTGGCCTCGAGAGCGAACTATCCGCTATCCCAGAAAGGCAGCAAGCGAAGATTGGGCGATTTTCTCGCCATTGATTCCTATTTATGGGAAATAATGTTCACACATAGAAAAACGGGGTCAATCGCTCCTCCTAGTCGGATGTGTCCAGTGTGCATCCGAATTGTACGGAATTTCTGTGAATTTCATTACTTTAATTGCCCCAATGGCAGCGACGTCTTCAGGTTGGCCACGCTGGCGTATGAGTGATATTTTTGTGCAAGCAAAGGGGCATCAATTAAGCCCAGCTTCCGGGATATTTTAGATGAATATGTAGATGGACTGGGCAATGAAAACACAGGTTTACGCTTTTATTTGATCAATTTCAAGTTTTGTATTTTTATTCGTTTTTGTTTGGTTTTTTGTTTGTTTGTTTGTTTTTTTTTGCATTGTTTTGTAAGTTTTATTTGTTTAAAAATTTTGTTCATTTTGCTAATTTCTCTTTATAATTGTGTGTCTGTATTAATTACAATATATTTCGTTCTAAACTGATTTATCCTTGTACGATTTATATATGCTGAATTGGAATTGCAGTGGGAAGAGGTCTAGAAAGTGGAAAGTGAAAGGTGAAAGGTGAAAAGTGTGTGTTGGCGGGCAGGGAGAAGTGAGGCGAAAGTTGGTAAGTTGATGTGTTTGGGGAAATGGTTGCGAAATGGTCGTCGAAGTGGAAGGAGGTGCAAAAGAATATAGATTCCCATTCTTATAATTCTGTATTTTTGTTTTCTTTTGATAGTTCCTATGTTTGTTTCATTTCATTTGAGTGTCGAGTCGAGTTGAGTCGAAAAGTTAACTGGCGCACCTTGTCCAAAAATCAAAGTGGCAGACTAAAGCGTTAGATTTACTTAACTTAGTTTTAATGTATTCCTCTTACTTAATGTACATGCCGTGTAATCCAGTATCTATATCCATATATACGTACCGCATATACATTATACATGCACTCGTATAAATAATCATATATGTATCTATTTGCCTTAAAGTCCTGCGCCTAACATCGCTCAATTAAAATTCAATTTATGCTGTCATTTCGCAATTATTCGTTTGCGCGCTTCTCACTTCGTTCGCTTGCCATTAATGCTCAGTTAATTAATTAATTTATTTCGTTCTAGTTAAACGTTTAATGTGTTTGCGTGTGTGTGTGTGTCAGTGTGTGTGGGTGTGTGTGTAAGTGTTCTCAGTGTGGGCGTGTCAAAGAGTGGGTGTCCTAGGCATTACAAAAAACAACTTATTTACTTGAATACCCTCAACATTTACAAAATACATGCAACACAACTCGAGTTTTCCTCGCATCTCAGAACTGTTATCCTAGTTTATCTCAACTTAAGTACGATTTTCTCTGTGGCTTTGAAGCGCAACAAGCACCGAACTTTAAGACCTACTCCTTGGGATAATCCATCTGATCTGGTTAGGACTTAATGGTGGCGCTTGAAGGAATGACAGACGGACAGGCAGACAGACAGACGGGCTCATATATTTGGGTTGGAAATTGGAAATTAGAAATTAAAGTGGGGCTTGCAAGTCGAAGGCAAAAAGAAATGCTTGAGATCATTAGTCGGTTGATTCGTAGTTGATTTCTTGATTTGTTTCGCGCTCCAACCGTCCCCTGAATAGTGTTATCGTAATCGTTATTATCGTTATCGTTATCGGTATCATATTTTATCTGTATATGCTCTGTAATTTACACAAGTTATACACACTCGCGGTCTTCTCGCATCTCTCGCTCTGGCAGTGTTTTGGCGTCAAGTTGTGTCAAACCATCATTCCGTACAATTTGATCTTTAGACATGTTTATCGGTAATCGTTAATCAATTATCGTTTATCGTTAACAAGTACTTAAAAAACAGAAACGCCTCGCCTCATTAAACTCGTTAAACTAAGCTGCATCCGGGGAGCTGTCTCTTACACAACTGACCTAACCTAAGACCAAATATCATCGCTCTTGGGAACCCAGGAAACTACTTCTCTTTTGGGGATCTCTGCTCGGATAGGGGATCCTCTTCACTATCTATCGTACTTATTGACGTAGTCTTGGGCTGTGAGTCGAACCGGAAAGAATAGCCTATCAACGCTTTGTTTTCGGGGTTCCTATCATTTTCATTCGTTTTTTTGTTTTTCCGTTTTCTGTTTTCTGTTTTTTGTTTTGTGTTTGGTTTTACTTTTGGGTTAATAAATATTTGTTCGAGTTAATTATCGTGTGTAGGTCAACAGTAAACATATATGCAGCAGTTATATTTCATTTAATTTTCGTTAAACTGTATTTGTTTTCATCTCGCTTTCGCATTTATTTGCTTTGTAGGTTTCTTGTCGTTAAATAATTTAATTATGAAACAATTTCTCTATATGTGGTTTTAATTACTTTTAGCGCATTTATTTTGAGTCGTCGCCTCTTCGATCATCTCTGCTCTAGTTGTTAACAACTAAATGCTTAACAGCTAGCATATTCCGTATTAATTTAGTTTAGTTGTAATGTAACATAATTTAGGCTTACGCTTGTGGATTGTTAATTAATGTTTAATGTTTAATGTTTAATGCTCAATGTTTAACATATCTCGATCTGTGTTACGTTAAGTATCAATATCTAATACACTCGTAAATAATAGTTAATTGTAATTGTAATTTGTTCTTTGCATATGTCGTCAAACAATGTTCGCTCCATTTACTTGCGTTAAATGTCAATTTTACGTTTATCGATTTTGTAATAATATGTTGCTATAATTGCTATAGTTGTTAAATATTATACTTAAACTCTGGGCGCTCTACACCAGCCCCAAAATATATGTACACAGCTTTCGTCTCGTTTAAATCTACTAATTGTTTCTGGCTTCTAAGTGTTTTGTTTTCTCCTTTCTCTTGGTTTTACTTTTTGTTTTATTTTTTTGTTTATTTCTCTGGGTGTGAGTTTGCAGGGGGCCAAACTTTTAAAGTTCATCTGTGAATTGGGGGGCCTGATCCAATATCATATCGCGTCTGATTGCCTCGGAATCGCTGCTGTCCAACTTTGTCGTCATCTATCTATGGATCTGGCTCTCTGTGGGCGTGGCTGAGGGCGTGGGTGTGGGCGTGGGCGTGGACGTGGGCGTGGGTGCGGCTCAATTAAATGCTTCATTGGCTCAGCAAACGCTCTCCATTTGCTGCATGGCCTGGCGTTTGCGGTAGGCATAGAACTCCTCCCGCATGGCTTGCAGTCGGACCTCGACGTTGTCGTAGCGCGGCAGGTGAGCCGGCAGAGATCGTTGCTTCCTGGCCCCTCCTCCGTAGGGGGCGTGGCTGTGCAGCAGACTCCCACTGAGGGGACCCAGCGTGTGATGGTGGTAGGGATGGGTGTCTATGTGCAGGTTGAGATCTTCGCGCAGCATGCTGGATGCACTCGGTGTGGGCGTGGCCGGATCGAACTCGTAGTGCCCATCCACGCTGCCCACATCCACGGGACACGGGGCCTTCGGAAGATTGCTGTCCGTGGCCGCGTTCAGTCTTGAGATCATCTCCAGCCAGTGGGCCATCGTGTACGGTGGCGTTGTGGCCCTGGGATACGAGTACGAGCCATGTGGCGTCTGTCCCTGGGCCTGCTGTCCTCCAAAGTAACCCGTATGCTTGGGTGGCGATGGTGGTGCTCTATACGGCGGCAGCAATCGCCATTCACTGGTACTGCCCGGGTGATTAGAGGTGTTCTTCGAGCCAAAACCACTCGAACTGGAACGGGATTCCGGAGAGGCCTCCAGGCCGCCGGGATTCATGGAGTTGCGCAGGTTTAGATTAAGTTGCGGCAGAGGAGAGAGCATCTCGTGCTGCTGCTGCCGGTTACTAAAGAGACGGGAATGATGACGTGGATACCAGCGTGTTCGGGGGCGATAGCTGGCCTGCGTTTGGTAGTAACTCCTCCACGACGGAGGCGACGGCAGCTGGAGTGGCACAAAGTGATCCTCCAGCGGATGCTGTTTTTGCTGCTGCTGGCGGCGAGTCTCCTCCTGAATGGTTCTCAGCGAAGGCAGCTCCTGGGAGTAGTATCTGTATCTGCTGCTCAAATTGTGCGATGAACGTTCCGCGGAGTTCGGGGGATACACAGTGCTCAGGTCGCTGAAGTGGGTGGGATAGGCGCCACTGCCACCGCTGGAGAGCAAAAGCTGCTGATGATGAGGCTGCAGATGCTGGGGCGAACTGGAGAATATCCTGGAGATCCTTGAGGGTGTGTAAAGCTGCTGTTGCTGACTCAGGCTGCCACTGATCGTATTTATGTGCAGTGGTCTACTTCTATCTGCATTGCCGTACAAATGATTGCTGCTGGTGTAGGGACGCAGAACATTCTGGTATCGGGCGCCTGTCACTGCCTCGTCGAAGTAGGATTGCGGATTGGGAGGCACAGCTGACTGCTTGGCCCCGATCTTCAGCAGACCCTGAAGGAAGCCCCTGGCCGAGTCCGCCGCCGACTGGAGACTCAGCTGACTGGAGGAGGCCACCAAGGGACGTCGCCACGAAGCACGAGCTGTGATGAAGTTGCGCCGCGAGAGAAATCCACCATCATCGCTGGAGGATTTCTGGGATACGTTGCTGTTGCGCCGCT